GTGCGCAATATGAGCATATGCTCGCCTTGTATTTGGTTGCAAAGCATAGATAGGTTGCAAAGCAAATAATTAGTGCACATTGACATGTGCACTAATTATTTAAGGTAATTGACATGTGCACTGTGCACACCCTGGTCATTAGAAACACGCGCAATATCTAAAATCCTGGCTAAGACCTTGGTTAAACAAAACTGATATGGACATCTCTCTACAAGATTACTCTACAGACATTACTACTTAAAACACAGCAAGTTCAGATTTAAATTGAAATAAATTTGGTAACATACTGTATATTATGTAATTCACACAATACACAACCAGTCTTATATGTGCTTGTACCAACCATATCTACTTACAGAACAATGGTCTGAAGGAGCTGACACCAAATTCGGATTTCCTGACAAGGAAGGGAAAATAATCAGTGTTACGGTAACTGCCATGTTCTGAACATGTAGAACCACATTCAACAATGGGCGTACCTCCACATTCTAGCAATATTTTGAGACATTTCTCACTGCCATGTTGTGCCGCAGTGTGAACAGGTGATCTGCCATGGTTGTCCTTGCTGTTTGAATCACCATTGCCTTTTTCTGACAACAGTGAAAGAAGAAACTCATCTTTATCGTAGATGGATGCTTGGTGTAATAGTTCTCCTTCGTGCACAAAGAATAAGTTTGCCATTTGCTTTTCCTAAAAAGAAACAAATATCGTCAAACATCTAAGAAACAGACCTTGTTTGATTGATTGATTGATCACCTCCCCCCTGAAAACCCATGTTTACACAAGCAGCCAAAGCAGGTTGAACTTGAGAATGAGCAAATTGAGAAGTTCCTAGTGAACTTTCAACTACCATAACTTGAAGTCGATAGAAACTAGGAAAGCACACATTCATTCATTCAAAATTTATAACTCACTGTGACCTTTGGCACAGAAAACCATACTCCCAGCACATATAAATTAGTAGCGATGGCTTCTAATTAAAATGTAGTTAGTAAATAATTTAATAGATTGGCTAAATGTTAGGATATGTATGCAAATCTGAATATTAGATTTAAGGCAAACAAAGTCAATTGTCTGGGAGAAAATCAACTGGCAGACATAGAGCTTGCCAAGAAAATTAGTCAGATCCAGATGCCCTTGACCCTTAATTTTCCAAGAAGCTACAGGAAACTTTTCCTGGATAACTGCAGGAATTTGTTATAACTGTTCATTGTATCGATTTTCTGGGAAAAATGACTTTTACTTTAGAAATTTACTATGCATATGAATTGATTAAAATACATAACATAGATATGTATAACCTGATTGTTGACAAAAGCAAATTATTAAAATTAAAGACCAGTTGACTTATGTGCTTTAAATGTATAACTTCTAATACTTTGTTTGCAAAAATGTTGGCAATAATTCAAAAGATTACAGCCGATATAGGCCGATCCAAATACACAAAATAGAATGACAATACATGCAAATACATACTGCAGTACATGAAAGCAATTGCCACAAACACGAATTTAACTCCTATATTTTCGCAAAAATAACTAAACAATAGCCTAGTTCTCACTAAAACGACTAAGTTTATCGAAAATCTTAATATTTATCCCCAAAACTACAAGTGTATCAAATCAATTTTATTTATGCAACATTATAATTATATAAACATCATGTAACAGATTGTCACAGACGTCTCGAGACAAATGCTATTAACATCTTCATGAAAATCAATGATTTTTGTCAGATTTTAAATCAACTTTCCTTTACATAAAACACGTTAACAGGACGACTTAAATATCCATTATGCGAGTGTGTTTGCTGTATTTAATACACAAGTCAGACTTGTGTTTGCTATCTGCCATATTTTGACAAGGCAGTCGACGAGAACAACAACAGAAAGTATATGTTTTAATGCGTTCAGGGTGCACAATACGTTAAAAATATCGCTTTACAATGAGAATATTCCTTAATACTAATATCGTAGAGGAATTTACACGCAATTTCTTACCTTATTGCACTTTATTTAAAGTAAAATCTCCAAAATTATGCGTTAAAATCTCAGCCATATTTGACTCCGTCTCCAAATCTCCTCAAATGCACTTCGCATTACGCATTAAAATTCGCTCAATTGGCCAGATTTTTTGCAATAAGTACATTAAATAATGTATTTTTATGTGTATCTCACATTTGTGGCAAATTTCCAAACCCAAGCTGGAAATAAAATAACTACAGGCGCGACTTATAACTCATTATGCGCGTGATATTTAATAAGAAAGATTCTTGTGGGAAGACAATATAGCGACCGCTCCCCCCGGAATACACTAATGCACTTCATCATTAACACAAAGATTAGGGTAGAATCATGATCAATGGGTAGAATGAAAAATTTACCTCATTTGCCTCTTGTTTTTCATCTATTCCGTTCTTTTCAGCATTTTCACCAACACTTTCCATTTCATTTTCTTCATTCTTCTTGGAGTTTAAACTATATATTCATAAGAAAAATAAACACTCAAATACGGTTACTTTGCATTAACTTCAAATGCTCGAGGGAGTCCCCTTGGTCTCATGTTTGTTTAAAAACAGCCATGCAAACGACATATGCAAGTAATGCAACTCAACCTTTCGTAGATCATTTCTTTACGTGTCATCACTTCTTCGATATTATCCACCTCAACTTTCAATCCTTCCATTTTAATTCCAATTTCCAAAAACTCTTCTTTCAAGCGTTCTTTCATTCTTCCACATTCATATTCGTCCAAAATTTCCAGAAATCTCTGGTCAGTAAAACAATGTAGCAAGACATGTAGAGAGCCTGGTTTAATTTCCCGAATTTCTTGATCTTCCCGCTCACCACCGAGACCTTTAGTAACAGCGCCATCGATTGCTTTTGCTATCAACTTATATCCAGCGTAAATAGTACTCAATGTTACTGCAGTAATGCATACATCTCTTACCACTTGAGCACTATTACTGCCGATAGTAATTGAAAAGTTACCACCGCTACTGCCTGAAATGCCGGCATGGAGAGCCTGGCCACCAATAGCCTGAGCTGTCTTTCCCACTTCACCTAGTGCCTCTGACAATGCCATGGCAATTTTTATCCTGAAAAGTATAGGTTGATATTTGTTTTGTATACAAGACTGACCCACAAAACAAATCTAAACAATAATAGTTACGGTTCACTGCATGAGTGCATATATATCTATCTATACTATTATTCTATAGATGTGGTGTGGTTTTAACTCAAAAGCTTGCCGCTACATATAACTGGCTACTTCAAGCCTTCGTCAGAAAGTTTGAATGCATGTTTCACGCACATTTTTATTACAAAACTGATGAAGATCCAGGCTTACAGATCGAAATCTTTGCAATAATAACTATATGTGGTGTTTATATAATTATATTGGTCCTTGTATCACAGGTGCCAAAATATTTGGTATAATGTCATCATTTGCTTGCTCCCCTCAATACTGTACACTTGAAGATATAGAGACCTCAATGCATTTGAATATAGAGAACACTAACTACCCACCTATATTCTGTTGACCTTTTCTTTGCTCAGATTTTCTTCACATCCTTCGAGTCTTCGACATTTATGTAGATGTAAAATTTAGAAATGCGTCTTCTAGATCTAGTCGCTTGTCCAAACTACAGTGGCAATGACAGAAACAGTATTATATCCAAAATTAGGATATCTATAATTGAATTTCAAAATGAAATTGAAATAATGGATCACAATATACTGTACATATAGTTTCTTCCTTGCTTCTTTATATATGATCACTTTCAGAATATTGCAATATACGGATCTTGTATGGATCTTGTGACTAAAAGGTCATGACCTATCGATAAATGGGATTAACATATGACCAAAGGAATGTCATGTAATTTGTGATAAAGAACTGGACCATAGCAGTATAGGTCCTTATTCTGTGAACTGGACATTTAAAAACCGTAAAAAGTCCATAATCGGTTTTTGAAAAGTAAACATGCAATCACTAAGAAGAACTGCACACGGTCAAAAAAAGTAAAACGTATCAATTATTTAGTTTTATGCAATTTCTACAGCTTTCTATTTTTTATTTACAGTAGCCAAACGACTGGGAGTTTCCCAAGTTATATTCTTGGGTTCCGAGTTGGTAAAACTATGACGTCTTTCTGCTGCGCTAGTTCCTGGTATAGCGATCAATTGAGCTTGCTCCATTCTTTTTCGCATCTCTTGAATACTTTTGTCTTTCGCTGCCATTTTCTTGCCAAGTTCTTGAATTGTTTTGTATCTACAAAAATAAAATAAGATGGAATACAGTAAAACACCACAAAACTGGGGATTTAAAAGAATTCAACTATACACTATACACTATACACTATACAACCATACAAACGCAACTTGTAACAATGCTGTTCCAACAACTTGTCAACAGGATGTGTTCACAGTGCTGGTTCCCATCTTGTTGACAAGTTGTTATAGTTAAGCCCTGGGCAAACTAGGAAGCCTTGTTGCGGAAACATTGTTTCCTGCCAATGTTTCGCCATGTTTCCCAGAGTGGGTAAACACTAGGAAACATTAGTGAGAAACATAGGTAAGGCATCAAATGTTTCTGAATTCGCTAGGAAACATTTTTGCTTCTCGGGAAGCAAATTTTGTTTCCGCAACAATGTTTCCACGGGTGGGCAAACAGGGAAACATTTGAGGAAATATCGAGAATCACAAATGTTTCCACAACAATGTTTCCTAGTTTGCCCAGGGCTTATATTTGCAAGTAATACAGATTAAGGCGATTGACGGACTAGAGTACTCCCACTCCACTCATCCACTACCCTCACCCTTACCTCTGTCTACTGAGATAACCCAACTGTTCAACCTGTTTTCTCAACTGCCAAACCAGTTTCTCATAATGTTCAAGCTGCACACGTGCGTCATCACGTTCATGACGTAACCTCTCCGTCTCATTGCTCACTTTCTCCTTACATCTCAATCTCTCCACTGTGGTCACGTGCTCCACATGTCGTTGCTGATTGGACAGTCTATGCTTCAATTCGACTATGCGCATGCGCGAATGGGCATCCGCACAAGTAGCGTGCTCGCGGTCTAGCGACGCTTTTCGTATTATTTCGCGTAATCTGGCGATTTCTCGATCTTTCTCGCGCAGCATTTTTGAAAGTTGTATGTTAACATTGTCCGACCTTTTGATCTTGATATCTTTATCTTTCTCAAAACTTTCGTGTAAACATTGGACGACATGGCTGTATACAACAGCGTTATCTTTTTCTCTGTACATAGCTGGTTCACCTTCAAACCCCTTTTGTGTTTTGGACAATTTCTCTTGCTCATTTTTACCCAAATGGCCCATAATTTCTCCAAACGACTTTGTTGTTTTGTCCTTAATTGTGTTACCATGGATCCCAATATGCGATACATCCTCTGTCAATTTTCCCGATTCCCCAAGAACAGGTTTTTTTGTAAATTTTCCTCTATCCTTTACATCAAAAGATATACTCTTTGATGGTTTTCGAGAATTGAGTGTCTGAATTGATGGTAGACTGCTCATGATGATCATGTTAAGAGTTCGACGTGAATTCCATGTAGTAATTTAATACTTGAAAATTTTATAGCCCATTAAAGTTTGAAGTCAATTGTTATTTGATATCTTGATATTGTCACTGCCAGTCAGCTGTCGGGAACCAGGAGCTCAATACATTCGTCAGGGACTCAGGTTACTTTAAAATAGACTGTCCCACTCTTTAAAATATATTGTAGGATTTGTAGACATTGTAAGGCGCTAGGCATACCTACTTTATTAAAATAAAACGTCTACAACACGATAGTTTCTTTTTACATACTTCCAAAACAGTTCAGTTGCAACGTTTTCAATCTTCCCCCATAGTTTATAATTTCCTCCCACAGTAATGCATTCTTATCAAGCAAGGAATTCTTTACGCCGAGACGTGGCCACGTGGGAAGTAAACGGAGTTACCGGAGACCTGTTAATGCAGTAGAGTAAACTGTGTCATACCTAGCAACGCAGAAAAATATTCAGCAAAAGCAGATAGGCCAGATAGTACACTTTGCTAGCGCGAAATTTCGCCGTCGTGGCATCAGGCCTCTATGCCTATGGGGTATTGCTTGAACCGAGGAATAGTATAAAAATTCCCATTTGCTTTGAATCGCTTCAGTTCGCAAGCCTGGCTAAGCGTCGCTTTATTATGCTATAAACATGACGACAGCTTGATGTCAAATTATCTAGAGAATTACGTAGGCGTTATACAGTGATGTCATTGCAATTGTTTTCCTTTGAACTGAGTATTTTATAAGTCTTATAACGCAGCGATTGCTTCCGAGCATTCATATCGAACTGAATAGGCAATTCCAGCTTTTAGTTTATGCGTGCAGGGGACGATGGGAAGTAATGTATCATATTGCTGATTATGCTGAAAACGGAGTGATAGCTTATACTTGTAAATATTGAAATATTTCGGTTGTTTCGGTAGTTTTTATTGAAATTTTTCAGCATAATCAGCAATATGATACCTTTCTTCCCATCATCCCCTGCAGGCATAAACTAAAAGCTGGAATTGCCTATTCGTGTAGTGATCGAAAGTAAACGTGAACAAGGAACTATACATTGAAACTACGCGTCATTTTTACAGCATGAGACATGAGTAACGAAATTAAAAATTGCAAAGGCAAAGAGCTAACAGAGAAGGTAGTTGCTGGTGCGAAAGATAATGAGAAACTGGCAAAAATGATACGAAATTTGAGGCAAGAAAATGAGAGTACGGGTACTACCGGGGACGATAAGGGATATAAGGAAAAATTTCAAGCCCTGGTTGAAATAAACAATGACTTGAAGAACGACTACGAAGAACTTCAAATGCGATATGAAATGCTTAAAGGCGAGAAGCGACTACTGGAAGACGAGGAAAAGGAGTTAAAACTACATGTATCTGAGCTGGAAAAACGACAGGGACCTTTAGAAAGCGAACTAGCCAGACTAGCTGCTGCTTTATATGCTCAACAAGGCTTCAGCAATGGCGGACCCTCGGAAGAGCAATGTGAGATACTGAAGTCTCAGATAATTGTTTACAAAGAGGATTTTGAAAGAGAGAGAAACGATCGGGAGAAATTACATGAAGAGAAGGAAAAATACAAACATAAACTGGAGGATTCTGAGGAAATTATCAGAAAGTTAACTGCGGAACTTGATGCTTGCAAAGCCCGGGAGGAATCTGAGAATGGGTACCTCAGTAAGAGAGTTGCCACTCCCCCCCGGTATCAGGTGCAATATACCTATCCATATCAACCTGTTGATCAGAGGTGGAGAATGGAACAAAAAAAGTGAGGAATCCTCCCCCGGTATCCCCCAACAGCGTCATTATTTTACGGAGGGGATGTTGAAGTTGATATACTAAGTTTTATCATTCCCGCGGTCTAGCGAGTCTTTTCATATTATTTCACGCAATCTGGCGATTTCTCGATCTTCCTCGTGCAGCATTTTTGAAAGTTGCATGTGAACATTGTGCGACCTTTTGATCTTGATATCTTTATCTTTCTCAAAACTTTCGTGTAAACATTGGACGACATGGCTGTATAAAATATTGTAAGGCGCTAGGCATACCTACTTTAAGAAAATAGAACGGCTACAACACGATGTAACGTCCCTAATATGTTTCGAAACACTGTTTCTTCTTACATACTTAGTTACAAACACGAGTAAAAATTTAATCGCAATTTAAATGAATATGAACATGATGATGAGCATCTATATTCAAAATGTAACACCTGGTAAAGTATTTTCAATTAAATTGCAAATGTAACGTCTATCTAGACACTTCAATATGTGGTCTATATGTGTTCCTGTAAATATGGCAAGAAGTTCAATAATTTCAATAAATTCAAAATGACAGTTATGGGGCCGGTTGTATAAAGGAAGAATAGCGCTTTCCACCGGATGACAATTTTTTCAAGCTTTCAGTAAAATTTTCTGTTGAATGGTATAACCCAGAATAAACTTTAGCATCGATAAAGTGAAGTTTCTTTTCTTTCTTTGTGAGGTCCATATCCGTAAATCCTGCAGCCTTCGTACAACTGATGCAAAGCGGAGTTTTGTTGGAGATCAGGTAGCCGATCAACTATTAATCCCGCCCGCCCTTTTCTCCGCCCGCGCGCAGTTCTCCCGCCCTAATTTTCCCGCCCGCAAGTCCTCCCCCAAAAAACCGTCTTCTACGCTGGTTACAGTTTTCTGGTGTTTTTGTCACTATCTATGCTGGCACAGTCCCCCCATACACAGCAAAAAAACGTTTAGCCTGTAACAATGTTGATGAAAACAGGTCTGAACAATATCTTGCTGCTCATATTGTTCAGAGTCCTGGTTGTTAACAATATTGTTCAGCATTGTTCACAATGTTAATATGGGCAGCAAAATATTGTTCAGGCCTGTTTTCAACAACATTGTTACAGGCTAGGCGTTTTTTGCTGTGTAGTTGGAGATCCATGTTCTTGAACGTGATCTACTAACCTAAGACGTTTGGATCTGATTTTCCACAGAACTCGTGTGAGGAGGATCAAGTCTCAAACTACAAAATGTAAAAAATGTAGATGAATTTCAGTGAACAAAGAGCTATCAACCGTGGGCATTATATTTTAAAATGCATGCTTTCTCCTTACTAATCGCTGTGTATTTGTCGGTTAACCGAATCAAATCCTAGGTAGCCTGCGAACAGGCTCTCAAGCTGAATTTAGAGCCTGCATCGATGACTAATGAATTTGAATATCTGTGTCTCAAATCGTGACGCGAAATTCTCATTGGTCAGATGCTATAATTTATATGTTTCCGCTGAGCTCTATGTATGTCAACTGCTGAACCACTATGCATAAAAAACACATTAACTGATCAAATTGGTCTTGGCCATCTTATCTCAAAGCACGAACGTTAACGTAACGAACGTTACGGGGCAGATATTCAAATTCATTAGTCATCGATGCAGGCTCTCAATTCAGCTTGAGAGCCTGTTCGCAGGCTAAATCCTAGGCTAGATTACCAGCTGGCATTCGGGGAATAATAATAATGATTTATTATCAGTATTTCCATACAATGGCTCTTCACCTGATAAAACTACTACTACAATATCTAAAGAAATAGTAAGAAAGTTGTACACCTAGACCTAAGCATTACAATTAAATAGTAAGACAGCGTTGCTTTAAAATATTAAAAGTTTGTCTAGAGAAGGCTCTATGATGATATATATGATTTGTGCACGATTTGATATCAGCTGGTAGAGAATTAAATAATGAAGCTGAACAATCTTGAAAGGTATTAGAAACTAGAGCCTGAGAACTAAATTGACTTGAGCATTAGACCGTAAAACACGTGTGTTCAGACCTTTCAAGGCTAACATAGAGAGGCTAATCGCTGCTATATAACGCCTTATGTGCGGCTTTAATATGCCAGTCCCTTCGTTCTCGCATGGGTAAAAGGAAGGAAAAGGAAGCTCCCCTGAAGCTTCTCGCAGGGAAGCTTGAGGCCACGGCTGGTAATCGAGCATTCGAGCCTAGTCAAATCCGAGCCCGAGTCAAATGTCCGATCCGAGTCACTGTTTAGCAGTCTTTGACTTTGTAGCTCAATGAAGTTAGTACCCTAACCCTATTCGATTGTGAATTTTATTCAGTTCCATCCTTTTTTACGTGACTCGGACGTTTGACTCGGATTTGACTTGGAGTCGCGCACAGCAAGAGCGCACACAATGACTGTGCAATAAAATCTAAAACCTCTCCAAATCTTCCATATGCGATGCACGAAAGTAAAGAGAGCCAAACTCTGCCGGGCTAATTACATATCCAGAATTTGTAGTGCTTTTTGTTATCAAGTGGGATCTTAAAATATTTATAATTTCAAATGAATATGCCGTGTATTGATTATTAATATTATTGGATATGAACTTTGTCAGATAATCTTTCCAAGCCTTCCAAATATGGAAAAGATCGCATGCTAATATCTGTGTGTTCGCTGTCAAACGGTCTGTCATATTAATATGTACCTAAACGCGTCTTCTGTTCTGCCAAATACTCAGTAAAGTTTCAGGAAATATTGAGTAATATTGGACTAAAGTTAACTCACTTCATAAAAGATTCGTCGAAATATTTCGAAGACACAGACAGTTATTACAAGGTAACATGAATACGGATTAATACATTGTAGGTCATTGTAAAGATAGTTCAGAGATTCGAATTGTGTGGACGATTATTTCTGATAAAATAGATTTTTATCTTTAAAGCTTTGTGAGAATATCAGTTGAGTTCGACAGTTCAGTTTTAAACAGTATATTCTACATTCAAGTTTCAATCAACACACTTAAACGACAAATACACTAGACAAATGTATAGGCCTTGAAACAACATACAACTAGCTATATTCTTCGACTATAAACGCTCTGTATAAAGACGAAAGTCTGTAGTTTAAATGGATTATATTTAATGTCGTATCGTTTTTGTAAGTGGAACATATGATTCTGATTCCTGCTTTCCATTCGGTTGTGACAAGATCAGTATCAAGGGAGCAATCAGTAAACACTGATTTGCATATAAAGCACACAAATTGACGACAGATTAGATACAGACTACTTCACATCGGGATATATGGTGGTGAGTGGTGACCATACGAAAATCAGTCTCAGCAGCTATAATTCGCGTATACCGACACAAGTCGTGATCACTGTAAACAGAAAGAGATTATTCATCATGTAATACATTGCGGTTATACCAATATAAATGATTAATGCTTAGAGACATCTGGCTATCAACATAACGGCACGTTTGCTAACTAGCTCTTCTATATTTTAGAGCAAGAAGAATTTCAAAGCGTTGAAACAGAAATACACTATAGAAATGGCTGTGGTAATTTTTTTTGCTTTAAATTTTATAGATCTACTCTCGTCAGTAAGTTCGGTAACGGTTGAAAACCATACTGGTTTGGATTATTGTCTAGCCATTACATTATAATACACCGTTTGATTTATCTTTGTTCTGCTATCGTTTATCAGGAAAATGCCGAATGGGAACAAACCGCCCGTGAATGGATAGAAACGGTGGGAGGGTTTAAACTCGGCAGTGACAGTTTGCAGCACGAACTGAAAAATGGGATCGCACTCTGCAAGTATGTCGTATTTTATTTATACACACATGCACCATACCATACTATGTGATACCATACTGCGTCATAAAACACCATAGCATAACATACCATTCCCTTACCATACCATACCACACCATACAAACACGATAGCACACCCAATTCTTCTCCAATATGTTCCTTTATATCCTTATAGCTTTATAAATGCTCTGCAACCAGGGTCCGTTCAGAAGGTTAGCAAACTACCAGGACCTTTCAACCAGGTATTAAATGTAATTTTTATTACTTTAGTTCATTTTATTACTTAAGTTCTCAGTTTTAACAAGTTCTAGCAAAAATTACCTCTTGTGACATGGCTTTACAGCAAGACAGCAGTTTGGTATTGGGAATTTAATGATTGATTTCTAGATGGAAAATATCAAGGCATTTTTGGACGCAGTTGAGAAATATGGGTTAGCTAAAGAAGACACGTTTGTAACGGTAGATCTGTTTGAAGGACGAAATATGAAACAGGTGAGATTTTATACAATTAGTGAACAAGAATCTTTTTCCAAGAAGAAGTTCGTCAAAACTAATTAATATACCGTAAACTTCCGAACATAAGCCCCCCCCCCCGAATATAAGCCCCCCCCGTCTATAAGCCCATCAAATTACTAACGTTCACACCATTCCGTATATAAGCCCCCCGAATATAAGCCCACCCCTACATAAGCCCACCCGTATATAAGCCCATCACACTATAATACCGGTAAATTACACAAAAAAATCCACTACATTGCATTAAATTTCAACTAAGACTACGTCTACGGTATGTATTTATTTAAACAAAGGTTATAAAGGATTACAAAACACTTGACAGTTCGTCCCGATTTTGCCTCAAGGAGTCACGGACATATTTTTTGTGCAGTTTCGGTCCGTAAATATAGTACGTGTTTTCTTACTATTAACCTAAGATGTGGTCCGTGTATAAGCCCCCCGTATATAAGCCCCCCCATGTATAAGCCCATCAAAAAAGGCTTATGAAATTATATAAGCCCAGGGCTTATATTCGGAAGTTTACGGTACTCCAAACACGGAGTTACTATTGTTAAGCCTGGTTTACACTATCAAAGTTTATACAATTACTTTATGGTTTTCGTGTTTGGATCGTCTGATCCAAACACGCGGGAATGTTGCGAGAGTTAAGAAAAGCGAGCGATATCACGAGCCGAAGGCGAGTGATTTTGCGCGCTTTTCTTAACTCAAGCAACATTCCCAAGTGTTTGGATCAGTCCATCCAAACACGGAAACCATAAAGTAATTGTTTTATAAAATAACAACAACACGATAGTCTTCCGTGTTTGGATGGCCTGATCCAAACACGGCTTTCGACCAATCAGAACACGCGTTATATACATGTTATTTTATAATCTGTGATCACACTAGGAATTTTGAAGAATTTTTAGGAAATGTTTGAGGGAATTGACTCAGTGTTTAACGGTTTTAAGGGTTGGGGTTGAGGCGCGGGCTAGGTTAAACATTAAGTCAGTTTGCTCAAATATTTCTTACAAACCTTCAGAAATGCTATATATGAAAAAAAAATCCTATGCGGCAAAGTGCCAAAAAAGTTCATTTACGTATTTTGTTATTATATTGAGTTTCTCACTCACTGGTGAGCGGATTTCCCAACAGGCTATTGCCCAATTGATAGGGGATCCAAGGTACCGACGATTTTAACGTCCTTATCCGAGAAGACGCGAAAGTCTAACCATTTATTGATGTGAATGTAAAGGTAGCTCTTTCTCCTCAGTTATTTTAAGACCTTGAGTAGAGATCCGACCAAGGATTGAACCCCGGGTCTCCCAGCTTGAAAGGCAAGCGTGGTGATCACAAGAGTTGGTTTAATCTATACTACGATTCTATGAAGTTTAGGGACCGGTCATTATTTATGGCTGGGGGTGGCACCGAAGAGAAAAAGGTTGGGTAAAAACCATTTTGAGTAAGTAAAAGGTTGGGTAAATGAAAAACAAAACAACCCAAGGTTGGGTAATAAAAAATTATTGTCATTTCCAAAGCATGACTCACTGAAATATTGGAGACTAAAAAGCATACTGTATGTAAATACAATATGTGAATCAATCAGAGTCACCATCTGTCATTTTCCGATTTGTTGGGAGACAAATGGTATCTCCATTTAGAAACTACATGTGCAGACAAAATGAAACTTTAGACAGCAGAACATTTCACAATCCGTTGTCAAACTCGTATCACAGAAGTGGTAGAGGACATGGTGACAACTGAATGGTATCCTTTTGCAAAGTTTTTGGCCAGGGGTGGGTATTTATTTTTTAATTGATATTTGAGGTTGGGTAATCAGTTTTTTTTACTTTTTAACGGTTGGGTCAGCAAAATGTTTGCTACGAAAAACATTTCTCCCCCCCCCCCCCCCCCATAAATAATGACCGCTCCCTTAACATTTTTTCATCATAGGTTATAAGGACTATTTATGCCATTGGAAGAAAGGTAAGAAAAATAGTAGTATAACAACTTTGTTCAACAAATACGAGAAATATCAGGTTGTGACCGCACCACGATAGCAGTTGTATGATATAGGAAGCATCATAAAAGTTTGTCAACACGTTTGATACAAAACAGGTTTAAAACAGACTGAATAGTTGACAAGTAGCTTTACTGCGTTATTCGTTTTCAGGCCCAAGAAAAGAACGCGCCGTATCCACCACTCGGTCCCAGGGAGTCGAAAGAGAACAGGCGAGATTTCACGAAGGAACAACTAGAAGCTGGAAAACACGTTGTTGCTATGAGATTTTAAAGATATTTTTATTTATCGCTGAGAATTTATTACACAATTATTTTTCACACTGAGTAAAACAAGAATATGTCGTGTGCATTTGCCTGGTAGAAATATTGTAAAAGATGGTGTAAAGCGTGACGATGTAAAGAGTGTGTGTGGAGGTTATTTTTGAAACTTATATTGCAAAGAATGTAAAAATGTTTAAGAATGTAAAATATATATTCCATTGTTGTCTGACTTACCTGGTTCGTCATAGGAAATGGTGATGCTATGACAAAAAAGTGCGTTTTTATAGTCTAAAGACAATTCCGAGAGGTTTGAAAAAAGCAATTCATTAAAAATTTGTATAGCATAACCACTTCCCATCCCATCCCATCCCATCCCATCCCATCCCATGGCCCTGTCGTTTCGGTCTTCATCAATGATATGAGAAAGTCGACATTTTGTGCAAATAAGCTGCCCTGGTCCCAAGAGCAAATAGCCTGGGAACGAGGTTGCCCTGGTGTTACCCTGGTGTCTGAATACAGTAGCTAGAAAGACAAATCTAAACCCGCGGAAAGGAGGAACTGCTCGCAGTCTAGAAAGACCACGAACCCTGAACAAACAATGTTTCATTTCTTTCAATTAAAATTATACCAACATTACTTCTGTATAATGAATTGCCAAATTTTATCCTCGCATTTTACATTTATAAATATATCTTATGGATAATTGTCCAGTGAGGAAATAACCCCACACCACCCCTCAATTTTGCCGTTGTTTTCCCCCGAGTTACCTCATAGTTAATAGAATAGATGGTTTGGAAACTCATTAGAATAACAATATAACTCATTATCGATGTTAGTCAACGTTTATTCATAAATATGTTGCTTCACCGTCACGTGTCAAATCCACCAATAGCAATTTCCAGTTTACCCTATTGTTCGAGTCACGGATAGGTAACTTTCCTAAAACATTGCTATTGGTTAGTTGGGCAAAAATACAATACACACGTGACGGTGAAGGACTAGATTTATGAATAAACGTTGACTAGCATAGATAATGAGTTATATTGTTATTCTAATGAGTTTCCAAACCATCTCTTCTATTAACTATGGTTACCTGCAGAGGAGGCTGGGGCAACATTATTGTCCCACTCATACGTCCCACTTCGTTAACCGCCAGTGAATTACGTATATACCATCTGTTCCACGATATCCATTACTGTCACCCATCTAGTATTGTTCAATCAACTGATAACAGCACAATTTCGTCCATTTTCTTCAAAATCCCAAAAGAATAGATATCAAAATAAGTCCGTATACCTCGCATTTCTCTTTCCCAGAGAGAGATCATGCTCACTGAATGTCTAATGATCTTTTCAGCTTATGGAATCGTTCTTTAATAAAATCGTAAAATTCATATTCTAACTTCATATTTTCTTTGGACATGGCAATAATCTTTTCCGAGGGTTTTTGTTTTTTTCTTGTCAAAGATAACACTGATTTGGGAGGCATGTATGGATCTAAGAGTAGAAATGGTTGAATAAGGTAAGGAAAGTAGTAATCATAATTATTATTATTATTATCTATACCACGTTTGTATGTGTGTGTGTGTATGTTTGGCTGTCAGCGGCAATAACTCAAAAAATATCAGACGTATTAATACGAAAATTGGTGGAACTCCATACATTGGCCAAGCCGCCAAGGACAAATCGATTAAATTTTGGTTTGATTTGAATACACCCTTTCGATAATTACGTCAGAACTACACTGTTTTCAACTTAGGACCACCTTAAATGGAAAGGATTTCAAGTTGTTTTTTTCTCATGGGCTATGCACAGAGAAGCAGAACATCTTTCTTCAACACATGCGCGAAAAAGAATTCTTTATTTTGACCAATAAATGTGGAAAAAAGCTTTAACACGAAAACAAGGATGACCTAGAGCCTCGTTTTATTGTTAATCCTTATTTCCATATTTATTGATCAAAATCCAAAATTTTTCTTCATGCATGTGTTGAAGAAGGAAGTTCTGTTTCTCTGTGCATAGCCCATGAGAAAAAAACTTGAAAATCCTTTCCATTTAAGGTGGTCCTAAGTTGAAAACAGTGCAGTTGTGACGTAATTATCGAAAGGGTGTATTAAACTTGGACGAGAAATCAGAAAAAGTGTTGTCTTGCTTTTCCGGGCAGGGAAAAACTGAATGTGTAAATATAGTGAGTGTTTATATTAATATACGAATAATAGTATTTATAATATTATTAATTATTATTGGCTAAGAATAGTGCAATTCTATTGAAATACAATTCCACAAAATACTGTACTATTCAGTGCTAAGAAAGTATCGAAACAAAAGACATGTTGATTTTTGTTTTTTTAACTCTGACGGTTGTAAACTTTCAATAAATAAAGTTTGTATTACCTGGCGTTTTCGACTGCTTGTAAGCTCCTTGAAAAAAATTTGGCAGTAATTTCTCTAAAACCTTAATAAAATCATCGTATTCTTCTAGAATACCAACGACCAAGTACTTTTCTACGTTTTTCTTTGCTTGATTTAACGCCCATCGTTTCGGCGATCTGATTGAAAATTAACGTTATATTATTTGAAGAAAAAAATCGGAGGTATATTTTAACTGGTGCAAATTGGGTTATGGCAATATTCATTCCTTGGAGGAAATCAGAGGAGATCGGGTCAATCTGTGGTACTCGATCAGGTCTACATCTTGCGAGTTTACATCTTTAACGCGTAACACAGAACACTGCAGTGCGTGGCTCCAAATGATTATGAACGTGGTTGACGGTTGCAACCCGAACCATGACCATGGGTCGATGAGCACACCTCTCCCCTCCCCTACCAGATCTGGCTGGATCCATCCCTGGTCTACTTGCATGGTGTATATACTATACAAGTCAAACTCATGGAAGATCTTTTCTGTTTATTGCAGAAATCGAATGGCGCGCAGAGGCGAAACGCACTAATCACTGCGCCAACACGCAACAACCGAACGTGTTACGAAACTTACCGACATTCTTTCAAGTGACCGCAAAAGAATGGAACGATAAAGAATATTCCCCAGTTCCCTACGCACTCGGTCTCTTTCTTTAGTACACATTCATCATATGTCTGGAATAGATCGCAGAGTTATTAGGAAGACCGACGTAGTGTCGTCTGATTAGAGAAGACTTAGAGTAACAAGGGTATTGTAGTTTCATCTGTGATATCGTGTTTATATGGGTTTTCGGTATGTATAAATGCAATCACATACGTATTTGATTAGAGGGGAATATTTAGAGTAATATACTATGAATATTATTTTATACCATGCACGATTTAAGGTGGCTTTATTATGGCACTCTATAAGTGTTACACATTGTTAAACAATGTTACATATTCTTACATAGTGTTACACAGTGTTACATAGTGTTACACAATGTTACATAGTGTTACACAGTGCTACAGAGTGTTGACAGTGTTACACAGTGTTACATAGTGTTACATAGTGTTACACACACTAACCCTACCCCTAACCCCACCCCTAACCCTAACCCCACCGTGTTACATAGTGTTACATAGTGTTACACACACTAACTCTAACTCTACCCCTAACCCTAACCCCACCGTGTTACATAGTGTTACACACACTAACCCTAACCCAACCCCACCCCTAACCCTAAATAAAGATAGTGTAACACTTCTAACACTGTTACCCGAGTATATACTTGATAATACACCCTAAATCATGCATCATATGTATTATTTTCATTAGAATCTCACCATGTCCCGATTTTTAATCTTATTTTTCACGCGAGTTTTATTCAGCAAATTGTCACCATATCGTCGAAAATAAAAATGTGACACAGACCTCGATACAGGATCTCTGATTAAATTGATATACGCAACTGATGGACCACCAAATCTGAAATTGGACATATTATTGGCATGATGTACTGAACAGCTGTATTCACTCAGAGATATTAAGGGGCTGTTTATATGGTCCCGCTTACCCGGGATTCAATGAAGTGTGACGTATTTTGAGCAATTGAAATAAGTCTCACTTCATGCTCTAACAAAATTGCTTGTTACAAATTGTATGAAATTCCGTGTTTTAGACAAAAAACAAATGTTTTTGAATGCTATTAATCGTCTTCTTCCACTACATCATAACTTCTAGGACTTCTAGCGCGTTCCAACAATATTTAAAATTATCTAACTTTTGTTTAGGGCTGAAACACGTATTTCAATTGCTCAAAATACGTCACACTTCATTGAATCCCGGGTAAGCGGGACCATATAAACAGCCCCTAAGTCAGACCAATCCATGTTTTGGTCGGACATGATCGGACACTTAATTATTCCCAAGAGGGATGTTGTCAGTTGTCACAGTACTGGAAACCAAAACCATAACAACTAACAAAAGTCCAAAACCATATGCATATGTAGTAGAATGGTTAACAAAATTACACAATACCAACGACAACTTACTCAATCACAGTATATATAATATAAAATATTTCTCTTAACACACGAGATGACATTGCTATTGTGTGGATCGTTACGAAGTCAGATTCTGTGTTTGCATGTGTGAAAGATTACAGATTTTGTTAAAAAGATTTGCAACAAAAAAGGAAAAAATATTCAAATTAATGAGACAAAACGGTCAGCCATAATGTCCGTGCAGAGTAATCAGTGGACGGCATTCACGGCGATCAGCATTTTGCTTGGCTAATGACCGGTGGCCGACCGTTATATTGATCCCTGAGCAGAAGCCATCTTTTATCGGTCCAGTGCTATCACACTGACACCAACCGAGATGTTATCGCAGAAGGAAGCTGGAGTATACCTGAACAGTTTTGATGAATCCAACTGGAAACACTCTTTTATAATTTTATAATACTTTTAGTTTGTGAAAACACCACGTAAATTTATTACTGCAAAGCTTTCGATCCGTAAGCCTGGATCTTCATCAATGCTAATAATATGTCGAAAGCTTTGCAGTAATAAATTTACGTGATGTTTCCACAAACAAAAAGTATTATATGTTTTATCGCCATGCAAACCTAATAACAAACAAAGAACTTAAACACTCTTTTCTTACATTTGAGTATAGTGGAATGATAATGAGACAAGCGCATATTGGAAGAATCGAACCCATGACAGAGGTGAAAAGAACATGCGCTGACCACTGTTCATTATTCCGGCCACTAAAGGCCCTGTCACACTATTGCGTATCGTACTAGCGTATGTCAGCGTATGAAAAATATCACTCATACGCTGGAAAACGCTGACATATACGCTAGGGGTACGTTAGGCATAGGTTGTATACGTTTCTAGCACGGTCGCATACGGTGGCATACGCTGGTATACGGCGAGGCAGAAAATTTTTTTTAATTATGCTTAAAGTTAAAAATTTTGTGCGAACGGACGTATGGTTTATACGATAAGCCTACTCTAGGCACACGCTGAATACGCTAGAGGTGCGCCAAATGTACGGTACTCATACGCTGGCACTATTTCAAAGGATTTTTGTGCGTATCAAAATTATTTTCATACGCTTCTCATACGTTTGACTCATACGCAATAGTATGACAGGGCCTTAAACTTAAAGCCTTGTTTCCATATGGTCGTAACGGTCGTAAACATTGACTCACGATCTTTCTCATCAGCCGAAATACAACGTTTTAGAACTGAAAATGAGTGACTATAACGAGAGAACACTTATGATTTATATGTGGTTCACAGGAATAAACTATTATAAACTGGCGGTTGAGAAAGATCGTGACTCTATTTTGACGATGTAGGAACCACTTACGTTTTAAAATCGAAATAATGCATATGTCGGTGATAGAGAAATGGTGTCCTTAACGCTGACATAAAGTCGCTTATCCTTTTCTAAATAAAAAGTATTGGTGATTAGTAATGTATGGAAATTGGTATACACGGAATTCAGCCCTTGCACAGAGTTCGACGTAATTGTTTGACTTCCGAGAGCAACGAGCGTGGCCCTGGGGACGAGGTGACTTCCAGCCCGAAATTTCGCTTCAAATTTTCGGGTGGGGGCTGCGAGCAGGTTATAGAATAAGGTTAGGGAACTCGATGCAGATATGATAGACATCATCATCTCCTGGCACTTATTCACAGCACAAAGACACACACTGGCTAGAGAGCGCACTGGCTAAGGACCATGGCGTCAGCATTTTGATGACAATTTACGGTTACGCCAAAATCATAGGAAAAACCAAAAAGTCGACCTTCTGCTTGTCTCTATTCTGTGACATAATATACCTGTTCATTGCGTCCCAGTTGATACGGGTAGTTCATTGCAGGTTCTATCACCCGAAATTTGTTTGTCACAGCCATGATTTTGAACAAGGTCAGGACTGAACGACTGCCACATTTTGGTACACGATTATAAACAATACGCTACAAAATGAAAGATATTACCTGTTTAATACTAAAACACTAAAGATGCTGTACACTCCGTTCTATGCATGCAAGCCTCCAGCCTTCTGCCGTGATATAAAATCACGATTAATAATTAGGTTTTTTGTTGTGTCTTGATCATTTATTATATTTTAATTAATTTAATTTTAACGTTATTGACATTCCCGAAACGGGTTTTTTAATTATACTCTAGAAGTATGAAAATATAAATAGTTGTTCAAGTATGAAAATATAAATATAAAAAGTTCAATATTTTGGATACAAAAATGTAAACAAAGGCTTTGTTTACATACGGACTGTAGCACGTATATGTAATAAGGATTCTTGCCAATCGAAGTGGTATGCGAGGCCGCGAGGGTTTGTGTGGGAGTTTTCTCAACTCTCATGCCCCGGTCAAACGACAACAAGAGATGTTGATAATATTCCAAAGTTTTGTTGCAAAATCTTGTAAAATGCGGATAATATAGCCTTGCGAAGTTTGCCGTTTTTCAGTCATTTTGTATTACAAACGGGAAATTGACATACGATTCGGGTGTTGGGGCTGCAATTTCCCGTTTGTGATGCAAAATGACTGAAAATTGCAAACTTCGCAAGGCTCTATTTTCCTCATTTTACAACATTTCGCAACGAAACTTTGGAATATTACTAATTTTGTGATGCTCTTTCAAGCTGTGATGAAATATTTATCTAGACTTGCCTAGATCAAAATTTTGGTTATAAGGGGAAAGGTCTATTCAAACGAAAAATATCACGGAAATGAAAAATATTAACAACTTCATAAAGTCTTTAAAATTTACCTGAGAATAATTCACCGCAAGTCCTAGAACAAAAAATAGCCTTCGGTTAGTGGATTATTCAGTTTGAAATATTTCCGGTAAATACTAGTCCAGTCAGGGTGTCTGGCATGTGGGTGTCTGTGTACATCAAAAATGTGGGAGTGAATAGTTTGATAATTCTGCGTTTCTGACCAGAGTAATAAGACTGTGCACAGACATAAATGTGGGCCTAATTAACATTATGCGCGCTGTGCAAAATTGCCAATGTATACAGACAACATTGTGATATAATCTTGAACTATCTGTGTCAGTGTAGTCTGTGTAGGTAGTGCCAAATAATGTAAACACAAACTTTCGTTGGTAGAGATGCAACTACCTGAAAAATATAAGGCGAATTTCGACATTTCGAGCGAAGGCCCTTCGTCTGGAGTCTATATACAATTGTGATACAATATCAAGCCGTCAAAATATTGAAATGATTTATAGCATTGCGACCTATCACAATACGTATGAAGTTGAAACCAGAAATATAATTATACAATATTGTTTGAAGACGTAACTTTTACCGTATAAGCCGTGTGATCCACAAACCTGCTGGACTAGTGGTTGTCCCGGCGTCGTTGATGGCTCTATTCGGCGTCAAATATATAGTCCCTTGCTGTTCTCTCTGTTTGTGGACACTGTAGTCTTCTGTCGTTTCAATGACTGTATATAAACCGTTAAAAATAATGATAAACCCAATCATGAAAAGCATAACAACGATAAATCTAAATCGCAGACGCATCTCGTCAAGTGCGCATGATCTTTAAGTGAAAATTTCTAGCGCTATTTTAATGTTATTTTTTAATGACAGTATCGTTCTGAAGTTATCAAAGGTTTTATATTTACAAGGAAAATAGCAGATCATATTACAAGTGCGTATATGGCGTATACATCCGGCTCTTCACTATGAAGAAAGATATAGCTCTCCATTTTTCGGCGCATAAGAAACTCAGCTGAAATAATACTACTCTACTTTAATGAACTTAAGTAAAAAACTGTGTAGAGTAGATAATTTCTACAACATTCAGAAAGGACCTTTCTTTATGGGGCTAGTCAGTCCTACAGGAGGAAACGGGAATACCCAGAGAAGGTTGTTTGCTAATCCTATAGAGGTTCAAGTCAACTGGGGGCGAAATTATCTTCAGAAAGCTCTATATGGGAGGGATCAAATTCTGGGTGTCGAGGTAAAGGCACATGCGCTAAACGCTGAGATAGTCAAGTCATTCTTCGGTAAACAAGTCATTCTGGGCATGGCCCTATAACAGGAAATTAAAGTGGGAATGGCCACTTCACATGACTCTCCGTTTGCTGAGAAGCACATATCAATGATAAATAGCGAGGTTTCCAACAGAATTTAGAGTACTTAGCCGCCTACTTTATTTATAAAACAACATCTGGGTCCGAAGGTACCACCCATGCACGTGGGCAGTTCAAGGGCGACTTCCAGCGAAAAATTCAAACCATCCACTTCAAGAGAGATTTCGACATATTATTCAAATAATCAACGAAGAATATCGTATAAAATTTATGTTCTAAAAACAAGAGATCTTTCCCCTGATATTTCTGTACTGAAGAGGAAATACCTTATATAGGTTATAATATTGAGAAACAACCGGTGATTGCAGTCTACGCAAAGTCCTGAACGTTCAGAGACGTCATTTTTATTATCGCCCAATAAAGCTAGGGAAAAATCTGAGGTGGAATTGTGGCAAGTCAGTGCAAGTCATTGTAAATGCCATTCTTGTGAAATGGGATCGTCACTCAGGAAGCGACAATTAGGAAGGGCCACTTGACCAAGGCTTCAAGATGTGACGTCACCTTTCTTAGATGTCATTGCTGCCAATTTTTGATCGATTCAAGACATATCTCTATTGCATAAAGCTAAGGATTTTGTAATTGCTATTGAAGCTTAGGGTTTTGTTTCACAAGAAGTATTTAACTTGAATTTATTATCCATCTTTGCATTAATATTATGATTTACATTAATAAAATATAAAACAACGGTAACTCAATAAATAAACATTTTAATATTCTAGCTTTCGACTAAGTCAGGACTGAATGATGCCAGGTTACATTACATCGAAACATTCCTGATGATGACTGAATCTTAGTCGAAAGCTAGAATATTAAAATTTTATTTTCGGAGTTACCGTTGTTTTATATTTTATTAAAATACTCAGTGGTTCCCGTGACGATTTACATTAAGTCATAATAGAATAAGATCAATAATTGTGGTTAAAAAAACTAAGATTAACAGACTAAGTTAAAAAACGAGTTAAAATGTTAATAAGACGAAGTTGAATGTTGTATATATTTACTAGATCTTGTAATGAAAGACTGTTTGTGTCTCTCAGTTCTAGGTAGAATTGTATAAGAATTATTAAGTTCATATGGGTATTTTCTAGGATCAGGCAGTAAGGTATGGAAAGGGTGGGTTGGTTCCGCTGGATCCTTCTGATCTCTCGGATGGTTGCTAATTCACGTCTGCTTCTTAAAGATGGCAAGCCCTGCCCATAGAATTAGCCCAAGTATTAGTCACAATGTACAACTCATTGGTGTCACAATACTTTAATTAACAATTGCTCAACCATTTGGCATGATAATAACAACTCTGATATCAAGAATTTATTGAAGTTACACTAAAAGAGAACTGCACGTGGAATAAGTTGCTTCGACTTTTGTACGTATTAGGTCCTCTCAAATTTTTGAAACCAATAAAAACAATACTACATAAACGTGAACTATAATGATGTTTAAAGTTTTAAAAGGAATGGTATCAATTTACCTAACAATATTGTTCCTAAGGGACTGGTCATAAAGTAACTGCTAGGGTGGGCTGGAGGCAAATCACAAATTTTGCCAATAAGTTTGGTGACCCATCTTAGGATGTAGATAAAAATTTCAAAGCCCATCTAATCTTACAAAAAAAATTTCATGACCCACCCAATCTAAATTGGGAAAAATACACTTTTATAACAAAAAAAAACTTGCAGGTATATGAACATTGTAAATATACTGTACACCGGCACTGTATTGACATACATAATTGAATTCCACCAAGCTTGACAAACACATTCCTCACCAATTACGATACTGAGCTGCTCTCCAGTTGGTTGTATTTGCTGTGATTCGACTACTTCTTGTTGTTGTATAAACAAAGTACTGGCTTCAATAGCATCATTTGCATTTGATAATTTGGATAGTTTTGTTTACTTTTATTTTTAATATCTTTATTTTTTGAAGTAGACATGCATGGGTTTTTGTTTGGTGACCCACCGTGGACATACAAAAAAAATTGGTGGCCCATCGAAACTGCCCAAAGATTTTCCATGGCCCATCCCAAATCACTCCAGCCCACCCTAGCAGTTACTTTATGACCGTCCCTAATTGTAACAACACTAATTATCAATTATGTAGCAATAATTTAAAAATTAGCTTGCCTAAGTCAAAAACCGACTTCTTAAAAAAGAGTTTCTCTTACTGTAAAACAGCTTCCTGGATTAGCTTGGATTAAACTACCCTCTGATATTATGATATATTACGAGCGGTAGAGGAGTGTCAATCTATTCCCTCTTTTCGAAGACTTCTTAATAATTTATTTCCGTTATTTTTTTTATCATATGGTAATAACACTGGAGCAAAAGAGGAGTCAAAGACCCTTACCGGATCTCAAGGAATAACAGCTAGTCAGTTAGAGAACTGATGTCCGATACAACCGTGAACAACCACACGGTATAACGTGACGTCACGCAAGGATATGACGTCAATCGGATGCTCTCGAGTGGATGCCACCACAGAAGTCACTGGGAATTATTACAATACCACTAATACCACAATGTGATTTTATGTGATATTTTCATGTGCTCAAGTTTGGCGTAAATATGTTGTCTAAATATGTTGTTTGGTCTAAGTATGTTGTCACTCTATCGATTCTCCACTGAGGTCCGTCGAAAGGTTTAGACTGGGATCTTAACTCGCCTTAAATCGCGGGTTTAAAATTGATCGAAGTTCTCCTAAATTGCCTACAATCGCCCAAACTCGCATTAAAGCACCAAAAATGTCCCCTAAATCGCCAAAACTCAGAACATTATAAATGTGCCTGTGCCTTTTTACACATTCAGGCCCCAGTTACACGTGATACTGGATTCGCATCGAAGCGACATCAAATTTTACAGTTTCGAGGGGAGTTTAGCACTCAAAATTATGATAATACAGCATAACAAAATTAGTCAAAAAATTCGAATATATGAAAAGTACGTTGTAAGAAACCGAAAAGCGTCTTAGTTCATGTCGCTCGACTCGCTCCGATGCGAAACCGGTATGGCGTGTAACTGGGGCCTTAGTTCAAGTTCAAACATGGATAATAAAATAAATGGATAGGACTCTAGCTGACGTAAGCAAAAACAACCTAGTCAAAGATTAAGTATATATATACTTTTAAGTATACTAAAATTGTAAAAGATTAAAATCTTTGACCTAGTTGCAATCTGTGACGTCACGCGTATTGCAAAGTTCTCGGCATTTTTGTTGTTTCGCTATACTTTCCGCTTTAAAAGAGTAATATTGAAGCATATACTGTTTTGTATTTTTTTACATTTGTAGCTACGAAATTGGCGTCCCCAATTTTAACGAAATTTGGGATGCCTTTTTCACTGTTTAGTGCTTGGAATATTTGCTAAAATTGACTGGGAATACTTAGAGATTTCATCGTAGAATGGCGTGGTTATATTCATTTGCTCTTTGACTAAAATGTTTAGCTGTATTATTGCTAAACATGCCGTTTTTGAGAATTTGGTTTGCAACTAGGTTTCAACATCCAATCACGCCATCAGCCCATTGAAAACATTAGGTCACGTCAGCATGGTTATTTTATTATCCATGGTTCAAATCATAAGTAAATTCGCAATCACACAGTGGTGCATCCTGGAATAGTAGAATATTGACTATAGTACGTGCAGGGTATAGGTTGAACTGTAAGAACTACAACAACCGAGCCCATGGCATTGTCGCTTGCAAAGGCGTTTCATCTATGCCGTACGTGCTGTTATCTGAAATATGCGGAGGCAGGGAACCTTATAATTATTCTATGGAAAAAATCCAGTAATTGAATACGCCTCCACATACGAGGCAGACATTTCGGTGGCATGATTTTTTACAGCCAATTAAATCTCGCATGATATTTTTATCAACCAATGAGGTCGCATTAAATTGATGAGACGTGCTATGGGATTTAGAATCACTATTTTTTCACTTCACTGTGTGGTCGGGGGGAAAAGTTAGAATGAGCTATGCATATCTTCTCATTACAATTAGGAATCCTTATTTTTTTCTTTTTTAAACTAATAACAGCTTCAATTTTGTCATTGTTCAGTAAGAGACCCTCAGAGAACGTCTTGATCGTATATATACATAGGGCCAAATAAAAAAAAAACTTGGTTAGCGTCACCGCCCGCCTCACGATTTCTGCCGCCTCTGAATTTTTTAAATTTGTTTTATGTAAATCTGTTCGTTTTATAGCTAAAACAGTTTAATATTTGAATTTTTTCTCATGCTCAGATCTTCGCGCTATATACTGATCGATAGGAGCGCGTGGGCTTAGGTACAAAGTTCTAGTCAAAATGGCGGCCTTCGAAAACATCCGATACAAAAATATCACCAATTTGGTAGAAAAACCGCCCTCATCCCCCCAAAAAACTATTAAAAAAATTTAAAAACGAGTAAAAATTAAAAATAAAAACCGCCATCCCGCCTCTGAAAATTTGTGAGTGTGACGCTAACCAAGTCAGCATTTTTTTATTTGGCCTAGATAGCCAGATGATTTAATATCTGGATTAAGCTAATTAGCCATGTAAGTTCTCGTTATCGCATAAAATCTATAGATCTATATTTATTAGAGTTTGGGATGACTATTTTTAAGTTCTTGTACAAACAAATCGATAAAGTCATTGTTCAGTGTAAAGAGATGCTCAGGAAACGCCTACCACGACCGGGCCCACGCAATGGTGTCACATATTGACGTCATAAGTGTATCTAGAATTGTGGTACGAGGATGCGTCAGACAGCGTTGGCAAAATATAATCTATTTATGTTAAATGTTTGCACAATTTGATCACGCGGCTGTCACAGTGTAGGCTGTGTTTTGACTTCAAGCAAACTTGCCAACCTAAGTAACATGAAGATTAGCTCCTGATTTTTTCTGTGTTGGTGTTTAGGTGAATATGTTTGTCAGTGATATTACTCTGAGTGTATATCCACACCGGGCGAGCTTGAAAAATGATGCCTGGCCACGGACCACGGTGGTGCATATTTTTCAAGTTTGCCCAGTGTGGATATACACTCAGAGTAACATCACAAACATCATATTCACTTGAGTACATAACACCAACACAGAAAAAGATTGTATTGATATCGAAGGAACTAGACTCAGAGTAACATCACAAACAAGATTAGGTCCTATAGTGTTATTTTAATTAGGTGTCCAAATACGTATATTTAGAGTATAAACCGAGGTATCTACACCGCATTATCTGTGTTTTTTTCACTACGTATTAATAAATTTTGATTGATTGAACAGACTTTGTTCAGAACAAACTTTCGAAGTAATCTTGAACCTTAATTACTGGGGCAACTTACGATATTCGGTCATCTGATTTACTCGAGAATCTAAATGGAAAACTCCCGAAGACGAAACTACCTTAATTAAATATATTTTCATTCATAAAATTTTGAATGACCACACCGCACCCAATCTTAAAGACGCATTTCAATTTAATAATGAAAGACATAATATATACATCTCTGAAATAGAGAAACTGTGATTTAGCACCACCTATGCCGAAAGGAGAATTCGGAAAGAGTTGTAACGGTGCCTCGCTGATTCGAATAATCTTCCCCATGAGGCAAAAATTGCTGAATCCTTAAGCTCTTTCAAATCGACATTAAAACAAAAAACGAGTTGAAACTTGCTCGTGTATGATCGTTACTTTTTGTCTAAACTACCCGATGGATTGAAAATGTCTCGACGTTGCAAGAAAATTGATCTGCAATCGTATACGTTATACGAATTTCTAGATTCATCGCATACAGGCTACTAACTGATGACGACAGCAACTCCGCTCGGAACTTCGTCTTCGAAGTGTTCTAATCTGTTCTGTTGTTTTAATCTGTTCTTCAGTTTCCAATCAGGTTGTACGGCAATCAAATTTTCACTAAATGTTTCTTCGATTACTGTCGTCGAAGTAAAAATTCAAGTGAAACAACTCCCATTCTCACTTTTGGGTAAAAAGGCCACAGGAACAACACAACTCTGTCACAAGTGTAAATTTTTGAGATTTTTATTTGAAGATTTTTTGGGTTTTTTTGTAATAAATAATTTCCGATTTAAAAACATCTATATACAACATTACTAGTATTCTAGTTTGGCAAACAATCTGACAGTACCCTTCTCTGATCCCATGATAGGAAGGTTGGAAATTCTATGTTAAAAGTCACTATAAGGTCGCCACGTTTGCTGGGCGTCTTGGGTAGAGGTAGTCCTTCGCCTTGGTACCGTTTCACATACCCTGGATGTACTATGTCTCTAACGTTCACATCATGTCTTCGACCGTTTAGTCCTTGTATACAATATGACACACCAAGTAAGGCTTTTTTCAATGAAACATTCGCAGTATGTAAAAGGTTGTTGTTACTGTCTCTGGTAAATAAAGAATGTGGTTTGTCTTTTAAGATAAAAATTATATCAGCTGGTTCTCTGCCTGGGTATTTGTCACCATGTTTCGGATAAGTCAGTTTTGTGCCAGCTTTCCAGCCAGCTTTAATGGGAATTTCTAAAAGTTTCTCTTCTTGTGTGCAACAGCCTCGTTCGTCGTTTATTGTTCGTTTGATTTTTAATTTCCTCGTACAACCTGAAGCGATTTCTTCTAGTGAAACTTCGAGGTGTCTTTCAATCGCAGCGTCTTTTGGTAAGGAGGAGCTACAGTTACTTGATGAATTTGAACAGGTTTCAGGTCTTGGACGTTTTTTTGCGCTGGGTGAAGAATGGTCGTTTTCAAAACGACTCGACCAATCCGGCCCAAAGTCTGGTTTACGTTTTTGTCCACATGAAAAACTGCTTCTACCAAACTCTCTGTTACGCGTCGTGTTCTGTTGCTTGCTGCGTTCGTGCGCACTAAAATTGTTCGTTTCATTACTTCTCATATTCGTTGTAAAAGCTTCGTGTGAGAACGGCGAGTCGTCTGCAAGAGAGAAGGAATGAATATTTAGTATATATATTTCAAGTTTACGTACTATATAGCTAAGTGTAACATACTCTACATTTTATAGAAAAGCTGAACACAACATTTTGTTATAATTTACAATGATTTTGGATCCAGATTTGCCAATTGGCTTCAAACAGAATGAAATCGCCTGGGACAGATCTATTCTGGAAACAACTGGATACTACCATGATTTTCTATACAGTATGTATATTCTGCCGAAAATTTGCTCTTTACTACGCTTTCTTATATAAATCAACTGTTTGGTAAGAGCTGAGACAAAGCATATTAAACCTTTTTTACTGACTGGAAATAACCTGTCTTTAATACATACTAGAAATTTCAAATAGGGAATGAATATTAGGAGCAGAAGGTGAAGTTATTATTGATGCTTGAGATATTATGCTTGCATGTTCCACTGCTTTGCTAAGCCCTATTTCGTTCTTAACTTAGTAGATGCGCTACTTCGTTCTACACTACAGAAGGTTTTGTTAAAACACTGCATTTCAATTCTACATAATTAATGAACCAATTGTTAGATATGAGTGCCTATCTCATAAAAAAAACGGCCTAAGTAATCACAACTTATATATTTTGCATCGTTTGATATACAATTTAATTAAAATAGCTAGTGTATGCAAAAATTATTTTTAGTTTAATCTTCCTGTCTTTTGAAATGCAGATGATACAAGAATGTTCTAGAAGCTACATGACAATATCTGTTTATCATTTTAACAGGTGTGTACAGTCAAGCATGAACTCATTTTACAGTGGCTGCCTTCAGTATATCTAGAAGAACTGAAACTTAACACAATTGTCCAAATGACATGCACCAAACATTGAAAATCAGTGCATTTTATATCAAACATCACAATCTGAAACAATCACCAACCAAAACCTCAATTAAACAAGAGAATATTATAGCTTAGAATTTGCTAAAAACTTGAATCTTCGAATTTCTCAGGAAGTTCACACTTATGTTATAGGTCATGTGAACAGTGTACTGGTTTATATAATTATAATTATATAACTGAAAACCCTTATGAACCAACCCTTCTTGATAATCAAAGAATGCTAGTACATGGATGACCGCAAAAGTGTTTAACCCAACTGCTCAAGGTTGTAAAAAGGAACACTTTTAAAGTATGTAAGAGAATTCGAAATTCAATTCCAAAGGTTTGAAAGAGAGGACTGTTTTAAGAAATAGTAAAACTTCCTTTTCAGGCTCAATTATCATACCACCAATTACATCATTGTTTCAAAAATGTCACAAATAGTACACATTGAAATTTCACACAAAATTGCTTACACACACAAAATAGTTTAGTGAACAAATTCATAAACATCACAGCTCATTCTGGAATGAAATACCCCCTTCTAACTCCATATGTTCATGCTGGGAAGATAAATTAATAATCAGCTAATTATAGAAAAGCAATCTAAGCCATCACCAGGATGCTAAAATGAATCGGCTTCAAAAACAACTGGCTGGAATCAGCTCAAAAACATATCTCAAAGACTTAGCTAGAAGCATAGAACAGAAATGTGACAAACACATTTTGATAACCATTTGACCCCTGTCAGGCACATCTTCCAATCAACACTTAGAATACTCAAAGGTATTATCTTATAGGGCAAACAGTAACCCCCAACTTGTTTATAAAGCATGGTAACGCTATCCAGTTGTTCCAGAATACTGCCATATACCATTTCCTCATGTTGGTAACAGAATTGTGGCACAATCTCAAGAAATTTGGCAGGAAAGGAAGCTCATGTGCTACTAAGCATCATCTTCTTAGTAACTTAGAACAAATTTTCACTAGAATTTTATCAATATGGCTAAGATTCTAGGCAAAAAAGTCTTATATAATAGCGGTGTTATGTAACATAATGTGTTCCAAACGAATTTGTTACTTTATTAATTAACCAATGAAAAACATAGAGAGCACATTATGAAGTTGTAAAATGTATACAATTTGTAGTGAATGATGGCGAAGTTTTCAAAGTATTCATCTATAACTCTAGAATTTAATACAAATGTCAGCATTTTGAAGGATTGATGTGGTAATGACAAAACAGCGTGGCGGTCTGTTGAAAGGCTGGATATAAATTCGGCTCACGTATGAACTGTAAGGCAGTTGTGTCAACTAACCACATCAAACCTTCATTTTAAGTGAATTAAAACTGCTACAGTAAAGTCAGAAGTCGAGACTTACCACGAAATTCGTTGAATATAGTTTCAAACCATTCCTTAGCATCGGCCATATTCGGTCTCGACCATGATGAGTTATCATTGTCATAGTCAAAACCGTTTCTCTTCGCATCATCATATTTACGTCTCTCTGCCGGATTACTAAGTACTTCATGAGCCTTGCTTATCATTTTAAATCTCTCAGCAGCTTCTGGAGCCTTGTTCTTGTCGGGATGAAATTGCTTTGCCTTTTCCCTGTATGCTTTCTTAATTTCATCAGGACTTGCATCTTTACTTATGTTTAAGATATCATAAAAGTTCTCGTTTGCCATTTCGTAGTACACTCAAATACTAATACACAACTTCGCTACAAACTACAGATGTTCCCCAACGGCCATATACTATTGTGTTGCAGTTTCAATTCAAAGCACGGCTTCACTTTGTCCTGTTCCTGATGTGTGTTGTGTGTTTTTATTTGATTATTGGAATTTTCTCGATGGTTTCGCCCGTATATGGACTTGCTGACCATATATGGATTGCGACATCTGCGGACAGGAAGTCGCGGAGAAAATTCGGAACATTCTGGATCAGTTCACATTCGACAAGCGCGCGCGTGAGTTTTTATTACTGAGGTTTTTAGTTTGAGAATAATACCAGAGCATACATATAAAAATTCGAGCATCTACTGCTATTTGAATAGCGGCAAAATTCTACTACTAAGGTTCGATTTTTTGCCAGTGCTTTTTTATGCTTATACATGAAGTAAACAATATTCACTGGAACAATCTAGCGACGACAGTCGACGGGTAATTTCGATAAACAGCAGTAGGGTTACTAAAAGCAAAGAGCTGCTTTATGCAATAAAATACCTTCAAATACAACATGTTATTCACAGCAGATTAAATCTTGTATTTCTAGATGAAAAAAAGGAGAAAAATTAAACTAATTGATCGGAATTAGGTAATAGTATAAACATAGTTATTTTTTATAAGAAATTTGATATTAAATATATAAAAATAGCAAAAGTAAAAAATATAAAGGCTAAAAGTACTAAAGTACAAGCGATATGATCATCTGATGATAAGAATCGAGAAAATGATTTATTGAAATCTTTCAACGTGTTTAAAACAAACAGTTTGGTCAGTTGATTATTAAGTCCAAGATCAATAAAAAGTTATCAAGTAGAACTAGTTTGGAAATTGGCTCAAAATGTACTTGGAATGAAATATAACGTTTTGGTTCCAAATAGGAAGGAAATAGCTGAATGAATAGCAAATCGAATAAAAAGGAAATAGCTGAATGAATAGCAAATAGGATAAGAGTGTTGTATAATATAAATATTTAAGGTATGTGATGATCTTTTTCTCTCATGCGCAACGGACTGGGTTTAACGAAGGTGAATACGAGCAATTATATATTATATCTAAAACTCTCAGAGTACAACTTCCTGACATGAAAGAAATCAAAGATAGGAAGAGGACAAACAAAGTCAGGAAGTTAAAGTTTGCAGGATTAACGATGAAAGATGCGAAACCTTATACTTATCATATATGTTGTTAAAAAAGGAGATGTAGAAAAAGTAAAATTGAGGAAAAATAACGAATGATGAAACTTGAATGAATTAAAAGTAGAAAGAAAAAAGATTTATAAAGGCCCATTTCCACTCAGGAAAATTTTCCGCAGAAAGAAAATTTTGTAAAATGTGATTGGCCAACACAAATTTTCCGTCGGAAAAAAATATTGAAGTTGAAATTTTCAACTTTCAACCGATGATATTTTCGGAAAATTTTCTGTCCGTGGAAAAATTTCTTGAGTAGAAATTAGCCTCAAGAGAAGAGTTGGCGTGAAAACAAGTAACCGTTGAAGTGATACAATCTTGAGCGGCATGTGCCAGTGTTTAAAGTAGTGCCAATACTGAAGTCATTGAAGAAATCTGCAGATTGATAGGGCAGTACAAGTCATACAACTACTGGGAAAATGCAAGAACATCAACGTTCCGAGAATGAGTAGGAACTGGACTGACTCTGTGTTCCAAGTTCCCTCAAACATTTCTTACAAATCCTTCAAAACTTTACCTACATGCACAATTCCTACTGTGATTCCAGAAATATTGATAGCGTAAACAGCTTTACAGTAATAGGATACTCATGTTAGTTTTTCAGAAAAATACGTTCAAGGCCGTTTAATACGGATTATATCGCTAATAGCCTTTTTTTCTTAAATCTGTCAATACACTAAATGCTAGCTAGAAAGTAGTTCGAGGAAGCAAACCCCAGTGTTGCGCGGGTATCATCGAATTACTTGTAAGATTTAAAGATTTAGATGATATAAGACATATAACGACGACTAGTGTCTATTGAAGTATTTCCTTCACGGAACACCACAACCTTGCCAAATTGGAATCTGCAACCGGAACAAATGATCGGAAACGCAATATAATTTAAGGTTATTAAAGAAAATTGAGGGTAATTTTCCTTTTCTAGAAGACTGCAAGTGTCTGGTGCAGTAGTGCTTGTCTCGCCTGACATGCCGTGGCAGCGCGCGGCCCAACGGGGAATATGATATTCTAGATTGATACGAAACACATCTGGAGTTTTGAATCTGAAAAACAAATTCCTTTCACCTACGGAATTTCGATGCTAGTTACACGCACGTTTATATTCAATTCAAATATATTATTATCATATAATTACAGCATTGTTGAGCAGCCTTTGTGACTGAAACAAAGAACGTTTGACGAATGTGGTTTTCGAATGACGATCGGTCAACGTTGCAACATGAGACAAGACATGATTTAGCAATTCCACTTGTTCCTACAAACGTAGTTAGAAAGAGTATTGCGTAAAATAGGAAACGGATTGACGTAGTTCGCTTGCAAAATACTACCGTTTGGTCTGCACTAGAGGAAATAATGGTGGAACAGTGGCTAGTAATGCATGTCGCAATCATGACTTGCACTGTTTTGACCCCATAATCTAAAACTTAGTAAAATATAGTTAATACTATACAAAACAAGTGAAACTCCAAAAATCGATAACATTTTTATTTATCAAAAATGTTATCGAATTTTTGGAGTTTCACTTGTTTTGTATTTTATTAAAATACTCAGTGGTTCTAAAAATTTACAGTTAATACTATATAGTATAAACTTAACCTTGACCCTTAGGGTTCTTGAATCTAATTATGCGATGAAGCATTGTAATTGGACGAAACACTCTCATGCTTGCGAGTTCCCAGGTTCTCACTAAACACAAGCCCGTTTACACTTGCAATTTTTGCTGCGATTTTCTCCTTCTGATGGATGTGAACGAGTGGATGAGTTATGAATGTTACATATTATACTCAGATCATATCATCTACCATGAGGGTAATTGCTAGATAGTATACTTCAAAATAAGGTTTCCGTTTTTATAACGTAGAAAAAACCATCCGAACGCAAAACTAAACCCTAACCCTAATACTAACCTTAACCCTAACCCTAACCCCAACCCTAAACTAACCATAACCCTAACCTAACCCTAACTTATTTAAAAAATTGATATAAAACGGAAACCTTATTTTGAAGTATACTATCTAGCAATTTCCCTACCATGAGGGAGTCTAAATTCAAAATAAGCTTTTTAGTTTCCATTTTGGATTTCCTCACCACTACACGTGTAACTTATTGTGATGTTATGTATATGTTATATTATTATTATTAAGATTGAATGTTAATATGAAATTATTAAATGTCAAACTCTCATTCACATCCCAGAAGAAGAAAATCGCACTAACTAGGGTTATTTTTTCATGTCACACCTAATCCAATCCCTAACCCTAACCCAACCTCGTTCCCAGGCTCTTTCCTCTTGCTTCACAAGAGGAAAGAGCCTGGGAACGAGGTTGACCCTAACCACCTATATTTCGTGACTGCGTGATATGAAAATGTAACCAAATGTTTGGTTTGCAAGTGTAAACTGGTTTTATATTCAAGTCAAAACCAACTACACTGCAGGGTTGTCAACACAAAGTTCAATATAGGCAATATACTGTAAATACTTCTTTTTAAAAACAAACTGTTGTAATTTCATGTGAGTCTCCTTGCCGCATAAACCTACAGCTACGGCAGTAGTAATTTTGAGGCAAACATTTTAATAAAGTTTACATAAAAAAGTTCAATATTCAGCAAACAGGGCTAATTACGCAATGCATGAAACAATCTCGTTCCCAAACTGCTTGGAACGAGGTTGTGCATTAAGTACTGTTTTATAAACGAGCAGGAGTGTTTTATTAGGTTTAAACCTAATAAAACACGACCTGCGAGTTCATTAAACGGCTTCAAACACGACTACAAATTCAATAGATATACTGCTTTATTAGTATTCTTTATATAAAGACATGATTTGCCAATAAGCTTATGAATTATTAATGAGTGTTTGAATTTTTTTTTAAAAGCCTATGCCATACTGCGGAAAAAGGAGGGGTTGACCCTCCACAAAGAGATATCATACTCTCTTGAGTGGGTCATTCCGCTTCATTCTCAAAATGATAGTAAGGACGGAACAAACTAAAGGAACTGGAAGGCGTTTTGCGGTTACTTCTAAACGCTTGCTACTTAATATTTGTTGAGAAAAATCAGTGAAACTTCCTTTGCAGTCCGCGGACTATTGTCATATCTCTTTGCGGAAAGGACGTATATTGGAACAATTGACAGTCGGCGAGGTAAAAGAGTGAACTAGAATGACAGACCGACCACGCATCGGTACTTCTATGACACGTTGAATAATATCAGGTTGTCTACCGAAGTGCGCAATATCCCATTTGTCTTCCAAACGTGCGCAAGGGAGTCCAGTTCGAGAATCTTCAGGTAAATGTAAGGGAAATGCTGGCTTGCAGAGACGCACACAACAATTGATGGTTTACTATACAATCATAAGAACCTCCCACTCTATAGTTGAAATGTTGGCAGGGACACAGGAAACGGAGCGTCCTTTCTCAGTATTTAATTATCGATTTCTCTCGTTGTCAACACTTCATAGAGAGGCTCAGATTTGACATTCACAGTATGCCATTTGATTGGTCAATCGGGTAGATTAAACACATCTGATTGGTTGATGGTAGTCGTAGTCAAATCTATATAGAAAGTCAACGAACAAGTCAATCCACATAGGAAGTTAATCCGCGGCATTCTGATGCAATAGAACCGAATTTCCTACAATCCATATTTTCAGATGGAATTTCTGGATAAATCTCGCCTCCAATACTGCAATCAATGCATCTTCAATATATAAGAAGACACTAGACCACCAGCTTGACCCCCACTGGTCGCCATCGTAAATAAAGAATAGTGACCCGGTTCTCCGAGCCTCACATGTACGCACCCAATGTGTAATTGTCCACAAAAGCGCAACAATTCAAGAGGATTCAAAATGATCATTCAAAATGATCGCTACATAATTAAGTTTTGGAATATGGATAATCGAAAGGATTTTTAACAGTATCATTGTCAGCTATGAAGGAACAAAATCTTTAAGCCTTTAATCACGAGGAGTATAGCGTGGGATGATATCATTGTTATAGCAAGAGTATATTAGTCATATTCAACCCAAGTTGCGGTACTTAATAAAGCCCTTATGGCTTATCCCGAGGCAAAATTAGCACAATAAAAACTCAATGATAGACCGCTTTGTTTGGGAACTGAACAATTACAATGTTTTATTGCGTTTTCGAGATGTTTTCGTTCATGCATTGTGCCACCTGTCATAATCTAGCCTTTTTTCTGCCGCTTGCTTTGAAGATAAACTCCGCCAAAGGCTTTCTTTGTCTTGCCTGCATGTGCTTCGGTTAATTTTTCGGACATAAGAAGGTGATAAGGACCTGTTTATGATGTGCCAACATCAAAAAATGATCACAAATTGTTTAAAAAACGGCATTAAAAAAATTAGGGAATCTTCGCGAATCTGCAGGTACATATAGAACACATGGGCCAAGAATGTTCGACTTTTGATAGAAGGACTAAGGAAACGTGCACGAGATTTAATATATATACAGTTGTTTTGCCAATTGAAGAATACATGATTCTGAATAATTGGATTAAGTTGCAGTTACGGTTTTGGGTATCACAATTTTCGTGATATGAAGTACAGAATAAAAGCAACAAAAAGTCAGATTAAAAAACGAATATAATGTTGTTATATAACTTAACGAGTGACACCAACAATATTTCAGTTGCTGTCAATATCACTTGACTTTTTCCGTACTACGCGCTGACTCGTGACTTGGTGTTAATATGTGGCCACGTTATGTGGCCAGGCATATTCCACCGTGGCCAGGCATATTTTTCAAGCTTGTCCAGTGTGAAAATACACTCAGAGTAACATCACAAACATCATATTATTATACGGTTACGATTCCCGCCGGGCCTGGTTCAAACAGGTTTATCATCCCGATAGCGAAATAGACCACAAATGCGTAACGATTAACGGTGTTCAAATGCAGATCGATGTTCAACCATATGTCCAACACGAGAGACATTTTTATTTGAGAGGTTTTGAAATGTCGTCTTGTTTTAAAGGTAGTCAAGCCAGAGTTGAATATCAACTGCAACCTTGCCTCGACCATGCAGAGCTTTCGATTCAGCCTACTTGGTGCAGATTTTTGAGGGGTACACCCCGTGACAGAATCGAGGTAATACACCCACAACTCGACAAATACCTGTGCTAAGAATGTAGTCGATGTAGTAAGTCAAGAACTGCGTTACTTCATAGGAGGATCATAATTCCCGAAACTGAACACAACAGTTTGAAATTAAACCTTTCTCCTACGCAGAGATTTTTAATCTATAACTAATTTCGACGCCAGACAGTAAACAAGACTTCGGTCGTTGGAAGGGTCTTCTATCAAGTGGGCACTTACGATAAGAATGAACAGATGAGTAAATAGAGAAGTGTTTTTGAATGAGTGATAGAGGAGGTCACTTAGCAACCATGTTTCTTGCTTGTTCTTTCATTGTAGCTAGAAGCCCTAGAAGGTTTTCGAGCTATCAGTTAGTCTTGCCCGTGATAAGACTAGCGTACACAACACATGAAGATATATCCAGATGTATGTCATGAATGGGGTGTTAGTGGCATAAAGGTACGTTTACACACAACGATTAATCGGGTCGATTCAGCTTTAATTAAATGATATTTGAAAAAATACGCTTCAACGTCATCAGACGACATCGTCAACTGACAACATTCGTCATTAACATTCGGCAAAACCTGAAATTGGCCCGATTAATCGTTGCGTGTAAACGTAGCTTAAAGCGTCGGATTGATAGGGATGGAACTACATGAAAAATACAAGGAGAACTTCGACGTTTCGAGCGAAGGTCCTTCCACCGGAGCACATTTTGCGGTTGGAGGCTATACTAACTTTCCCGACGAAGAGCTCGAAACTCGAAGTTCTCCTTGTATTTTTCATGTAGTTGTATCTCTATCAATCGAAAGCTTTCTTATTATTGGAACTACCTACACTGGCACAGACGTGGCAGAATAGTTAGTGCATGTGCCTCGGCGACAACTTTAGGACCAGGAGTAGGCCTCCTTTCACATTCCGGCGACCGAGGGGCTTGAAATTACTGACGCACTTTTGCAGAAAGCACTGGACCAAGGATAGCTCTTACCCGAGCTCTAGAAAGAAGAGTATAGAACTTCAGCATGAATAAAATTAGCAGTCCAGCGTGCGTCAAGCACTCCAATTAAGCGTTTGCTACAAAACTGAATGTGAAAAAACTTTTCTGGACGTTCTAATTAACGCTCCTGATGGAAGCAATTATTAAAGGTCCGAATTGCTCTGACGTAAATAGAACAGTGAGGCACTGCGCGAGACCACAGTTTGACGCAGGAGATGTCTGTAAAAACATGCACGTAATGTTTTGCTACCAAATTAACCTTTTCATTATTTTTAACGTTGTCTAGACAGGAAAACGGTCAATGGAAGTTAAAGAACACTGAAATCCTTACAGTGGAAATCATATTTGCATCACAAAATCCGTACTATATACAGACTATAGTATTTTCATACCATATTCATAGTATCAGGGAAATAGCAACTAGAATGGAAATTGGATTTCACTCGAACAGTCGGCAGTTGTCAGATTGGACTTCTAAGGAAACAGCAACAACACAGCGATCACGTAGCTTGTGGGGTCAGGGGGTATGCCCCTCACACTTTTTCGCTGAGTAAAAATTAATTAAATAAATGTTTTTAATTAATATCAGGGTTAAATAATTAAATAATATGACTACAATCAGGCTTCGCTCGCCCGCGTGCCCCCCCCCCCCTGCCCACTTCTAAACTGGCTCCGCGGTCAATATATATCCACTTGTTTTTCACAGACGGAAAGGTCAATATTTGCCTCCATAAGCAATACAAAAACATTCCGGTTCCTTTCTAACCTTTCAGACTTTTAACAAATTTCCTCTTTTCAATATAAAAATGAAAACGTTGGCGTAAATTGCCGGAAACTGGCTAAACTTCCTCAATAGTAAAGTCTCATTTTCACTCAAGAAAAATTTCCAAGGAAAGAAAATTTTCCAAATGTATATCATTGTTAAAAGTTGAAAATTTTCGATTTCAAATTTCAAAATATTTTTTCCGACAGAAAATTTGTGTCGGCCAATTACATTTTACAAAATCTTCTTTCTGCGGAAAATTTTCCTGAGCGCATGGAAGTTGAACTTAGAAAATTGAAGAATCATCTGTGTACTCTGGTTTAGATTTTCTAAATTTAATCAGAATGTTTAAGTGTGGTTAGATCATGAGGGTGCTGAGTTCATGAATGCGGGCTGCTTTAAAGTGATCTGGTACACTATTGTTGTACATAACTCACTGCTAAGTTAAACATGGTTAGATGTTGTACAGATTCTTTTAAATAGAAAGGTTCGTTCATTGTTCAGTTCACTTAGCTGACGACGAGCTTTTGCTGGGGATTAATCATGTGGTGGCATAGTCACCATGCTTGCCTTTCAAGTTGGCAAATCATGTCAACCATAATACGTCACGTGCAGTGGCTTTAAACCTGATAAAACACCAAATAAAACACTCCCATTAGTATTCTTTATATAAAGAATACTAATAAGGCAGTATATTTATTGAATTTGTAGTCGTGTTTGAAGCCGTTTAATAAACTCGCAGGAGTGTTTTATTAGGTCTAAAGCCACTCGCGCGATTTAAACCTAATAAAACACTCCTGCTCGTTTATTAAACAGTACCTAATGTAGCAGTGTCCCATCAAGTCGGAGCTATTATGATTCTGAGTGCATGATTCATATAACATCAATGTTCTATTAGTCTAGCCATTTCACATGTCATGTATTGTATTACTGGATTATCACCCCTCTAAATATTATGGTCCCAATTTATGTGCACTGAAGTCTGTATAGTAATTAAGTGTAGTATGCCGTTCGATGCCATTTGGACGTACCGTCATACCGTTAAAGGCCATAAGGTTTCGAAGTGAAGGCGGTGAGCATATAGTCATATCCACAACTATTTGTATTTGGAGAGTTATATTCCTTAATATTTCTGTGGCACGAAATATGTGTTAAATACATTGACATTGTATGTGCACAAGAAATTCGCCAAAAAGGACAGGTGGGCTGTTAGACCTTACATTTTTACTCATCTCTTGAGTACTTCAGGCATGGAGGATGCATAAGAGCGTGTCACGATAGGCTTTGACTTCAAGATTTTGGTCTTCAGTCACGAAATAGTCAATTCATCCATTGCTGATATGATATACAGCTTCCCATTTTACTTGGAACCATGACATGCCTGTCCATGAGTTGACGCACTATTAATTGCAAGAAGGATTACGCTGATCCGCTCAACACTTGAATGAACTGGTGAAGCTTAGCCTGAGGTCTAGTTAAATGCCTAAGTAACTATACGTAGCGTCCGAGGGCAATATATCAGTTATAAACCGACTTTCGAGGTTTATAACTATAACTCATATCACATTTGTGGAGGTTTTCTAACATATTTTGTCATTTTCAAAAATTTTTAATGAAAAATTCTCGCGTTTTGTCTACAAGTTTAATCTAATCATTTATTCAAGGTATATATAAGCTATATATAGTTATAAACCTCGGACGATCAAAGAAAACCGACACAAATGTGATATAAGGACTGTTCTCGACCATGTTTGGATTACGCAAAGGATTAGAAAATGGCACATTCATATAAATTAAGCCTCATTTTTACTAATCACATCTACTAATTAAGAATAGAGGGCGGTTTATTTTAAATGCAATATTAATGCAGCCCAGCTCAAAGGACTTTCTAACGGCCATGGAGTCGGCTACGGAAATCGGTCAGGAACCTCTGTCCTACGCAAGGTTGTGCTAGAAGGCATGGTGGAAACGACAGAGCGCGGAGTACGTAGTCAGAGTACGGAGTCGGAGTCTGTCAAAAAATTGTTTATTTTGCCCAAAGATTGGCGAAAATTTTTTGACAGACTCCACAACACTCCGACTTCCATGCCGTTCTAGAAAAGGAGTTAGCTAAAACACTTCCTTTTCCGGCCCTAGAAGGTCATCATCACGGAAAACGGAGAACACCCACGATCTCAATTTTGTTATTGAAAGAGTTCGGCCAAAATACACCACAAGACTATTCCTCCAACTGATTTTAAAGGAAAAACAATATACATATTAATGCATAATAAAAACTCACCGAAATGGAGTGTAGATCATCTGCTTTGGGTATATTAAAGGAGAATAACCTGAAAGTAAAAATAAATAGTCAAATAGATCTATAAGACACAGTAAGGGACATCTCTTGTTGGTCTAGTGTTATGATTTTTTGTGTTGGTGTTGTGTACTCAGGTGAATATGATGTTTGTGATGTTACTCTGAGTGTGTATCCACACCGGGCAAGCTTGTCTAGTGTTGGTTACCACAGGAGGAAACTTAATTTGTGTGTGTCTATTACTACGAAAGGCCAAGGAAAAGTTCGTCTGGCTCAGTCTGCCAGGCAGAGAAAACTGAATACGCATTCAATTAGCGCATTTTGTAATTTATGCACGATACTTGACACAATTGCCCCGTTATAAACTGAATCTCTCTCTAGAGGTATAATATTAAAGAGATATCTCTTAATTCTCCAGTCTTGCGACAAGAGGAACCCGAGCTTCGGCTACCTTGGTAACTTGGTATTGTCGAAATCACTCTTCTCACACTCAGAAGACAGACGCAAAATGATAATCAGAAACCGACGAAAAAAATTATAAGGCATAATAATTTGCTTAATTTTCGTCTCTTAATAATGCAAAGGACGCAGAATTTTCATTATCTAAATTTGCAATTCGTTCAACTTTTCGTTAATTAATTGGCCTAAAAATATATTTGTTTATAATTAATTTTCAATTATTCGGCGCCAAATTTATGGCGATATGTAGCCTATAGTCGAATGTTCCAGAAACGCTATTTTGTCAAAATAGCCTTTGGGGATTTATATTCGATGAACTAAAAACATGTTTCATTATGTTGATATAAAAATAAATAAAGACAACACTATCAGCTCATATACGACTCGAGTTGGCCGAATATCTGTTAATTAGCATATCCCCGGCACTTCTTACTTATATAGCATAATTATAAATAAAGATAACACCGCGTACCGCGGCTATCATTGTGAAGGGAAACTTCGAGAAAACACGCGATGATGAATAAAAAGATTACACACCATCTACATAATTATAGTACGATAAATTGAGGAATCTAAAATATTTGTATATATATATATATATATATATATATATATATATATATATATATATATATATATATATATATATATATATATATATATATATATATATATATATAGCATTTTATTATAATATAGCATTTGTAAATTCTGAAGGCTAATTGGCTAAGAGCCGTGCTGATATAACTCAATATCAACACGGAAAATTTCTTTCTTTATATTTCTTTGTGTTATATAACTTATATCATTTCAAAAATATAAAACATTTTTTCCGCATTGTTATACAGTATATCAACACTCGTAGAAATTGGGAAAACTCGAAATTAGAGAGGTTAAGATACCCCGATTTCGGTGTACGGGTACGAGTAGTGTCATCTTGTTTTACTGATGTCTGTAATTCGATCATACTTTTTCTGTTTTCTTGCAATAGACAATGAAATAATGCGGAAAATGTGCACCTTAATTACGAGTAAAGGTACAGACTCAGACATCGACGAAAATATTGCTAATCAAAATCATGCTACTCGTACCCATACACCGAAACCGGGGTATCTTAACCTCTCTATAGTGTGAAAACACTCCGCCCTCCGGGCGTCGAATCAGTAACTGTATATCAACTAGAGTCAGGGATGGATTTACTGGGGGGGGTGCATCCCCTAGCCCTGGCGAGAGGGATGCAGGGGGGGGGTGCTATTTTTCATGATCAGCAAAAAAATATTAGAGACAAAATGAGATACAGTAATTTGAGTAATAACATGGCGATAAGCGAACTGTGAACAACAATTACAATTCAGTAGTCAAGCAAGACTTTGCAGTAGCGAAGCAAGTTGATGGGTAGGCGGCACACATGACCGACACAACTCGGCACCAGAGCTAGCAGAGCAGCCCCCCCCCCCCCTACCAGATCATGCTGGATCCATCCCTGGCGGAGGTAATACCTTCTTTTATCGCCCGTTGGGTATAGGCTGGAAATTTTTGAACGCTCTTAAATTTTCATGTTGAATGTGAAGTGGGAATCATATCCTCCTGTCGTGTTCGAATTAAATAATCATCCTGTATGAATGCTAATGTGTATAATTTCTATTTCTATAAAGCTGATAAACAATGGTAGGAAGTTGGTACTGGAGCAGATCATTACAACGTTAGCAACTGTAGCTGATACTGCCGAAGAGAATTTTTTAGCTTACTATGATCGCTTTATGCCTACTTTGAAGTATGTGATGGAAAACGCTGTACCGAAAGATTTACGGCTCTTGAGAGGGAAAACAATTGAATGTATCAGTTTAATTGGCTTGGCAGTTGGTCATGATAAGGTAGGTAGCTATTGTTACCTCAATCTCGCACCGTGATGTACGCACACCCTGATACTGAGACGAGATTGCATTGAAGAAATTAATTGCATTATTTGCCCTGGATGTTAACGCATAGTTTAATATTTTTAATAAAACAAAAGTTGTGTATTTAAGTGACAATCCAAGGCTTAACAAAAAGATCTTGTGGTTCCAGTTTCATATCTTGAAAAAAATAGGGTAGTTAGGTCGGTAATGGCTGTAAGTGTGATCAAAAGGCAATAACGATCTTAAGCATGTTGGATGGCAACGCAACGCAACGGCAGATACTGTAATTGTATCATAGATATCTTATATACACTAGATAGCACATCTCTTTTAGTAAAATTGAAGCGAAGAATATTCCAGCGGTTACCCCCATTTGAATAGATGGCGGCCATGTTGGTCGTTCCCACTTGCTAATAAACGCTTAAAAACAACAATAA